ACCAAATATATTAATCCATTAACTGATTCAGAAACTTCAGGCATTTGCAATTGCACCATGCTACGGTAATGATAGAAATTCTTGTTAACTGCAGTTAACTGAATTCTTGGCACTAACAAAAATCTGACTTCATTGCTTGCTTGAGACTATATTTGCATGTTTATAAAATAATGAACATAATCCTCTTTGCTTTGGTCTTCATTTTGCCTCTTTTGCTAACAGAAAAAAAACAACCTCTGCATATTGGTTCTGTGCTTGGAATAATCTATTATGCAAAAATAAACATGTGCAATTATTCTCATTCCAATTTTAATTTTATTGAAAGTTATTAAATTTAGAAGATCAAGTTGAGAGAGAACAAAAAAATAATATCACCATTATCATTGGAGTTGTTTCAACTTGAAGACACTTTGCAAATCGGTGTGATTTCTCATCTTCAGAATGGCTGCTTGTTTCTGAGCAGGCCCCTGTGCTCAGTCTCATTTTCTTTTCTTCAACAACCACAGAGCCAACCTGTGGTTTATACTACAACTATGCTGAGTGGACCATAGTTAAAATTCAAATATTTTCCACACCAGTACTACATATGGTTTTGAATTTAGAATTGCTCTTTTATACTGGCTGCCAACCTTAGCTAGAGAGTCAAGTTTGCCCTGCTATTTAATTCATTGGTGGGATATGATACCAAAGTTTCTTTTACCATATATCCATGAAAGATGGTTGAATATTATTTTATGGTGATATTTTAAATTATATCAATTTTTAACCTTATATTTTTGGATTTAGTTTTTTTAAATTTGTCATTTAGAAAGAAAATAGTTCATTATATTTAGTTGAAATTCCTGGAGAAAACCAGGTATTTAGTTGAAATTCTTGGAAAAAAGCCAGTTTTACAAATACACAGTTCCTTCCCCAACTCACTGCTGTTCTTCATTTTGACTTGATGTTCTTTCCCAAATAAAATCCAAAGGAAGTTCTTTCAAAAAACATCAAACATTCAAACTGATTTATTTAAAAGAGAAATAAATTATCTCCAATTCTCCCACTTGGTCTTTGTTCTATTAAAATGGCTTTTTTTAATTTTTTTTTTTTTTTTTTTAGAACAGTATCTTAATTACATTGAATAGCAGCCAATAGCCAATATACAAATGATTTAAAAATAGTAAGCTTTAATTAAAATGAATAATGTGTCCCATAAAATCCTTATTATACCTTCAAATTGTTCTCTTTAAAATTATTGTAGCATTGCAATGAGAAAGTAATTTACTTATTATTTTAACATATTTAATCACTGTAGCATTGGTGCAGTAACAGTTTGTTCAGATTCCAGCAATCCATTATAAAGACTCTCCTTTGAATTCTGCCAAACCTGGAGAGACAAGCCCACATCCACCTCCCCATCAGATTCTACTAAGATTGAAATCTTGAAAGCTGTCCTGGGTCCTGCCACTATTTTTTCATTTTGAATTATGATAAATTCATTTTTTATTGGCAGTGTCAGTCTTGTTCAAAAATTATTTTTTTCCCATGTCTGTCAGGAAAAAAACAAAAGTTTAAATACTGATCAATGTTCCTTTTTGTATGTTCTTGTTGAGCACATTTTTCCTGGTTTCCACATCTTTCCCAAGGCTTGTCAATGATATCCTACAGCACAATAATAAGGGAATGAATAAACTTCAAAGACACTTCTAAGATTTCCCTAACATTATGAAAAAGATTGTGCTGGGAACCTAATATTGTTTCAATTTGTCCACCTGTTGTGCATCTTTGGAATAACTCAAATGTAGTTTTAAGAGCATAAGAAAAAAAGACAAACCTGCAAACATGAATTTGATTTGTGTTGAAATTTCTGGAGAAGCAAGTTAGTAAGTAGGACAAACTGTGTTGCTATTAAATATGCTTCAAGTAAATTCCAAAATTCAAGAATAAGTGTCACAATTACAATCAAGGCAAGCATTTTCAGAGAATTATGTCTGCTATCATTGTGTGTAATCAAACAGGATATTTACATGATGGCATTCCTTCAATAAAAAGCAAAGTTTAACATACGTACCTGCAAAGCAATGGTCTTTAAACGGATGGATTTCTCTTGACACCACTATTACCATTTATACCCTCAGCAATTTTTATTGTTTTAAAAAGCTATTTTTAGATTTTTAATAAAACCCAAACATTAAACTGGATTTATACATTCTCTTTTTTCTTGAGAATTGACATCAAAAGAATTTAACATTATTTTACTAGATTGTTTTTTTACAAGAATAATATTAATTTACAAGTTTATAAAAACAATGCTATATTTATTATTTACTGTATTATAAAGAAATAATGATGAAATCAAATTTTTTTTTTTATTCATAAATTTATAAAAATGTTTGTAAACAAAAGAACAAGAGAATTTAAATAAGTACATCACTACAACTGACTATAATTATAAATTTTGAAAAAAAAAAATTTTCCGGGCATTTCTTTCATTTGTTCTCACCATGGAAATTCACTAAAATAGTTTGTGAGCATCTGGATTTATACATTTTTTTTCTCAAAAATTCACAACAAAAAAGTTGAACACTATTTATTAGACTGTTTACTTGCAAGAATATTGTTTAATACTTTTTTTGCCAATTCTTGAGAAAAAATGTATATGTTTCATATATTTAGGTTTTATTAAAATTTTAATTGTAGCTTTTTAAAATAATAAAAATTGACACCCTTTTCACAGGTACATAGGTTAAACCTGTTTTTTTTTGTTTTTTTTTTTCAAATCATTTCACCCCAAACAATGTGGAAGGAAAGTGAAAAAGAAGGAAGAGACTGAGAATAGGGTGGACTGAAGAAAGCAGATAAGATGAATGACATTCAAGAAGACAAAAGATGGCAATTCACATTGCAGTTAAATCTTTGAAGATTGTAGTTATCAGGGAAGTAGGTAAATGTAAGGGAGTTCCACAGGGGAGAAGTGCGAGAAAAGAAATATTTTACTCCCACTCTTCCAGATACTGTAACTAAGATATGCTCAGCATAGTTGCAGTATAAACCACAGATTGGCTCAGTTAGTGTTGAACAAACATAAATTTACCTGATCAGGCATCAGCAACAGAGATTAGCTAGCCACCCTAACAGAAGTATATACTTGAAATGACAAGCTAGCATTTACTTACTTATATAATAACAGTTTTGGATGTACCTTTAAACCATATCACAGGTTGATCCAAGCGTTGTGAGTGAAATTGAGTAGATAAGAAGAAACAGAAATGTGTCTGAGTGGGCATTTGCAGCAGGGATTAGCTTGGTACTCTAGCAGACAGTTGTACTCAGGAATGATCAGCCAACACGCACACACATACATACATACATATGCACATATATATATATATATATATATATATATATATATATGGCTGCAACTATATCATTGCTTTCACTATTCTGAAAACTCAAGTCCTGTTCTCCTCAGATCAATATTTTCATATGGATGCTATGCATGGCACCAAACGTGTTTGGAAATATCTAATCTGTCAACTCTATACAACTGCTTTCTAAGATCAATGGTTAAAAATTGCTTTGAGCAAGTGAAGCCTGTGGGTTTTGGCAAAGACCAGTCTTCTTTGAACATTATGGACTGGTGCTAGAGAATCACAAAGGATTCTATCAAATAACAGGAACAACATCAGTTGAGGATTAACAAAAGCAGCAACAACAACTAAAATGGTTATCACATTTAACTCGAAGGAAAAATGACATAATCAAGATGTTGATATTCCACACTACTCCAAATAAAAGGTTAGGAAGGAAACCCCCATCAATACTGAAAAAAGCAATAACCTATTTTCCTGAAAAAGTATTTTAAAAGAAAGATTATATAAATTTCAATCAACAACACTGACAGCTCAGTCAATGAGAGCCAAGTGTTTCCTTATAAGGAAATGGTTAATATTACCATTGCTTGGAAAGGAATAATGATTAAAGGATTGGTTGTATTTATTGCGATATTGATATTGCATTTTATAAATGACTTAATCACTATATCACTTATTTTTTGCACAAATTCATCACTCACATTCACACCTGAGTGTTTGTTGTTTTTTGTTTTTGTTTTTTTTCATCCACTTTTGAGTCTCATAACTTTGTGTTTAATAACACCACAATGTTGGACCAAACCTAAAACTTCTAAACTGTTTACTTTAAAACTTTCCTTATTTGTAGAAACAGTTCTTGCCATTTTGGATTCACAATCCGTTTGTACAGTTTATTTGTAAGATCTTGCCATTTTCATTTTTTTCCCTTTGGAAATTGTCTTTATCTCTTTTTTTTTTATCTCCTGCCTGAAGTGGATAGGATGCAAGCAGATTTTGATGCCAAATTTTCAGGTAAAAAAATGCATCTGATACATCAAAAAATATGGTATGGAAATATTCTGGAATAAATACAGTATATCAATTCAGGGACAAATGCATTTATCTCTTAATAGTTGAATCTAACTGATTTCCTGATGAATGGAGTTTCATGCCATTCAACAAAAGAGACACCAACCCAAAAATCTATTAAATGATTTTTGGGATTAAGCTGGTCTTCTAACATGAATCCAGTTGAACATAAGGATCATTTTGAATTGTGAAATCAGGAAAATTTCACAAAAACTTTTTGTTTCATATTTTCAATGCAACTTTTTCAGATAAGAGATGGTAGCAAATAAAATAATTTTAATCTGTGAAAAATTAAACACTTGAAAATCAATTCATGTTTTGTGAGACAGTTTTTAATTTGCATAATAAAATATTCTTGGATTGTTTATGATTAAATAATGGTCATTGTTTGCAAGTAAGTGTTTGCTTGTGTCATGCATCTGTGAACTAACAAACAATTGTTGCTTTTTGGCAAGTAGCGGTAATTATTTTCTTGGAAAAATTGCATCTTTCCATCATTTAGTATGACATTTAGCCATTCACAAATTAAATTTCCTGCATAAAATTACAATTTTTATTTCTTTTTTTCTTTTTTAGGGTCACTCTCTAACTGTTCAAAACCAAATCCGTTATTCTAAAAACTCTCACTGTGACTGATATTTCTCTGATTTTTTGAATTGATGGAATTCTCTTGGTGAGGAATTTTTATGCATTTATGGGAAGTCTGTTCTTCAGCGGATAACAGACCAATTTTCTTCACAGGAAGATTAACAGAATGCCATGGACTTCATTCAATTTTGGGATGACAAATGTTTTTGAGCCAAATTCTTCAATTTTCATCTTGTCTTGGTATCCTGCTGGGTAGGAATCAAGGTTCCATTTCTCTTCAGATTCTTTTGTGTGGGGAGGGGGAGGGATCTTATATGGTTCATCTGAATGTGTATATAAGCTGGGAATTTTTGTTATTTGTTGGGACCAAATAAATTATTCTTAATAACAAAAAACAAAAATTTTGCTTTCATTTTTCTTGTTTATTTTTATTGATTTAATTTAATTTCTTTTTTGTAATTTTCAAAAATTTAACTTTGGATATTTCAAATAGAAAAAAGAAAGAATGATATCAGTATCATTTTGTTTTGTTTATTACCTATCAAACTTACCCTAAGCAAGGCAATAAAGCCACTAAGACACAAGTGGTTACTGGATGTGTAATAATTACAATAGAAAACAGAAAACATTGTGAAGGAGTGAGAAAATTAAAAGAACAACCAGGAGGACAGTAGATAATGATTGACATTGCATTTAAATTTTAAAGATCAAATTTATCTGGAAAGCATGGAGCCAGAAGAGAATTCCAGAAGCAAGAAGAATGAAAAGAAAGCATAGAACTTACAGTTAAATCTATCCAATTCAACTGTAAATTGATGAGACCTTGTTGCCAATTTAGTACTGCACTAAAATTCATAAAATCTAGGTACTATAGCAAAGAGTTCATCAAAAGAAAATAACCATGAAAGTATTTATAGGAAAGGCACAGGGAAGCAATTTTATGGCTGTGGGAAAGTGACTGAATCCAACCCACTAAGTTAGGACCAATTATATTATTGATTCTCCTTTGGATGTTATCAAGAATTTCTAAATAAATAGCAAGAGCACCAGATTATATGTGGCAGCAATATTCTAAGCATGGATGAATGGTAGACTGATAGATATGTAATATTCTGGAGAGAAAAATTGTCTTGCACAACACAGTGAACCAACTTTTTTAGCTGACCCAGCAATGGATTCAATATAGTCTTTCCACTTCATGTTAGCCAAGAATGTTAACCCAAGAAGGCATAACAGGTCACTCTCATGAAGGTTAGCATCAGCCATGCTGGTGAAAGGTAGAAAGGAATCTCTCAGATGATTAACAGAAAGCAGTTTAGTCTTAGAGGCATTGAAATTAACAAGTCATTCTTTCCCCAGTTAACAGACTAGGTTTTTGAGATCAGACACCAATTTAACTTTATCAAACTGATCAGACTTAGTGCCGTTAACGAAAATTAAAAACAAAGTTGGATCATGGATAGGGCGCTGGGTGGGGGTAAACGTGCATTAGTACAGAAGGATCTAGAAGAGTGCACGTTCAGGACAACTTTCATCTCACGATTAAACCATTAAAAAGTGATAAAAGTTTGTATAAATGTGCATGCTGAATAGGTAAAGAAAAAATGAGAAAATTCATTTTTTTTTTAAAAAGGGGGAGATTTTAGGTTTATTTTCACTTTAATTATATACTTCACAATACCTATATTAATTTTTTTAAAAATTAGTATCTCCCCATGCGAGGCAGTAAAGCCACTGAAACACAAGGTGTGGAAAAATTAGAACAGAAACTAGTTATCGATTGACATTGCATGTAAATTTTGGCAGAGTAAAGTTGGCTGGAAAGCATGAAGCCGGAAGGGAGTTCCACACGCGAGAAGTGTGAGAAAAGAAATTGTTAGCGAAGAATTTACGTCTAGCCAGTTCATCTGTAAATTGATAAGAGTTTGACCCCAGTCTAGTACTGCGCTTAAATTCAAAAACTCTAGGTACCACAGCGAAGAGCAATTACCATGAAAGTATTTATAGAAAAGGTAGAGAGAAGCAGTCTTACGGCGGTGGGAAAGTGACTGAAGCCGAGCCGCCACATCAGGGCCAGTATACTTTATCTATAATTTAATTATATGCAAAAACTATATAAATGATATTTAAACCTTTTCAGATTATAAAAAATAAAGAAGAAAGGAAAATAAAAAAGTGTTCCAAAATTTAATATCTTTTTAACAGTATAATATTCCTTGAAGCATTCCCTGCATGTATTTATCAGATTGAAATAAGGATTTACATATCAATAAAAGATGACGCAACAAGTACTGACACTTAGTGCATATCTATCTATAAACATATTTTACAATGGAGTTGTGCATTCTTTTTTGCCTTTTTTCTCTTTGGCAACATGCGGTTTGTCCTTCCGGCTTGCAAATAAGCAAGCAGATACTCTAGGAAATGACATTCTCGTGAATCCAAGTAAATACGTAACTTCAGGAATGATACGGTTACCAATTAGTAATTTAGACATGAATTATGAAAGAATGATGCCTGTCTTTTTGAAAAAAAATTAAATTGTCATTTGATGATATCTGCTGATATCCAAGGAAACATTAATTAACAATGCCCACTGTTTAAGTTTAAATATGTTCTAAAAGACAGATTATTTTAGGACCAATATCCCCGACTCATTTTGGCCCTTGTTTTGTAGCTCGAAATGATTTGTCATAAAATCATATGCAAAAGTATTTCTTTTTCAAAATGTCTTTGATAATTTTAATCAGTTCACCCGCAGCAAGGTGATAATGCCACTAAGATGCAAGGGGCTCCTGAGAATGAGAAAATTTTAGAAGTAACTGGAAATCCAATCCTAAACAAGAAATAAGAGATAAATCTTTACTCCTGTTCAAAAAACCAAGGAGGAGATTTTAAAAAACAAAAACTAATAAAACAATAAAATGAAAGGACCTTTCATTACACCTGTCTTACACTCTAACTCTTTTTTTTTTTCTATTATTAAACCAAAGCTATGTCTCCGAAACATTCTAGAATCCTCAAAGAAGTCCTGCGTTTAACTAATAAATCAAAGTTTGCGATCAAAATTTAATTTCTAGAAATTTCATGAAATTAAGTGGTGGGGTAATAAATCTAAAAATAAAATATTTTTACTAAGATTTTCTAAAAAAAATAATTTCAAAAATAAATTTATTCATTTGTGAATAAGACCTGAAAGTTTCATTAAAATCCGACAATTATTTGATTTTTTGCAAGAATTTCCAAATCAGTGTGTTATTTTACCGGAAAAAAGCGCTAAAATTTCCATAGTCAGTTCTGTTACACCGTTGACGCATAAAAAACAAAATTTTTAACCAAAATTTCAAATGTGTTAGAAAGGATACAATTTTTTTTAAATAATTAAAAAACTTTGGTCTTTCCTCTTAAACATTTTGACGATAAATCTTTGTTTTTATTAAGTTTGGGACATTTTTCATCGTGTCATGCAGTTTTTTTTGTTTTTTTTTTTTCAGCAAAAAAAGTAGAGGTGTAGATTGATCAAAGCCATTAGCACAAAATGTATAAATAATTTATCAAATGCATACGTCTCGGAGTGAAAAAAAAAAGTAAAATGGTAACAATGTGGTTCAAAAATGCACAATTCCATTTCAAATAAGGAGTAATAAATAATTATTTAGTCCTTTATTTACATTGTTCTAATTCCACGTGCCGCGCCTTTTGGGGGGATATTTAAGTTTCAGTTAATTCTCTTTAGTAACTCAACTCTCTAAGTTTGTCTTTCCTCTGCTGTGGCCAATCACTTTTTGGATTACTCAACCAATGTTTTTAACCACTGGGCAATGTGTCCTTGGGGATATCAATGAGTGAACTTTTGGGGCTTAAAAACCTAATGTTTCAATAACAATTTTTGACCAGACCTTACCGATAAAATAAAGAACTAAACAAATGGTCTCGTTCGAAATTCCAACGTATATCATTTGAAGAAGGTCAGAGTGTACAACGGCAAAACACCGTGAATATGGCAATAAATATGAGGACAGCAATCCGAACGATGTAAGTTACAATACCTCATCTCAGAAATATAGATAGATATTGAAGGTGATGGATGAGTCTAGTTTCCATGGGCTGTTGTGCTTTTGACGATACTTTAGCATCCCGCTACCATTTTTTTACCAATCTCAATTTTTGTGCATGAGGTGGATCTCAGAGCTTGCCCAGCTTCATATATATTTTCAGAAAACCTCAGCTTCTGATTGGTCACTTAATATTTAAATCATGTCCGAATAATATCGACCTAGTTCTTGACCTAACAAAAAAATAATTCCGCCAAAATCTGTCAATGCCTTTTTTGATTCTGTCACGTGATTACGTTATAAATATCAGACACAAATTCGTTCTTCCTCTTCCTTGATTTCTCTCGCTATAAAATGTAGTTGTAAAAAAGGATTCGCGTCTTGAGCATGTGCGGTCAGATGCTATGAAAATATATTCATACACGCACACATACACGTACGTACGAAATTTTCCAAACAACATTTACAAACATACGAAACTTTTCAAACTTCATTTCAAACTACGAATATTCAACTACAAGCAATGGAAATTTAAATACAAGCATTACGGAACATTCAACTCCTCTAAAGCTAAAAGTTTATTCAGCATTTTCCCAGCTTTGTAATTCTTTCAACTCTCTAACAGTAAACATTTTGAGCAACAAGTTCAACTTTTGTGAGCTCGGATAAAAATATTTCAATTTCATTAGTAAAAACTTTAATTCAGCCAAAGGGACATAACTCCAACAAAAATAGTAACCTCTTTGCTTGTACATCATTATACAAATATAAATATAAATCTTGTTGTTGTTATAAAACCGTTTTGTATTCCTTCTTGTTTCTCTTGTTGCTTTTGCGTTTGCTTACACATTCGTAAAGTAAAAAAAAATGTACGGGTTGATTTAGGCTGTCAATACCGAAACAATACTATTGTTTAGAGGAGGGCTTTCTTAACGTTGGCTACTAGTATTAGCTATGTGTAAGAAAGGTGCTGAGAATACCATGGAGGGAGCA